ATTTTAACATTTAATTACCGTATAATCTAGTAATCAATAGAATTTATGAAAAAAAAAAAAAAAGATTACCCAAAATATAATCCGTAACATAAAAGTAAAACACCAATTTCTACAACTTCAGTTCCCGTATAAACTAATTGGATTAATCCGAAAAATGTAAACATAATTATCGAATATCCAGTAATTCCCACAGCATATGACACTTTGTAAACAAAAGAAAACCATTTATAAACTAATCTAAGAATAAAAATATGATAATTTAAACCTAATGATTTATTTATTTATTTATTTTTTTTTAAATATAAATTTTAATAAAATAGTATCATATGTACCTTGGTGTTTTGTGATCTAAAGGTTTTCTAGTTGCTAAATATAAAACTTTTTTTTTTTCAAGTAAGAATTGATTAATATTTCATTTTTAGTTAATCGCTTGAAAATCGGAGTTAGAATTTCTAATATAAATGTATTTTACTTACTAAATGAATTAATTCCCGAATATAAAGCCCAAATTGTCATAAATCTCCAGAAGTGAGCTTGAAATCCAAAAATATACATTGGTATCAACCTATTAAAATAATAATAAAAAATATTTCAAAATAAGAAAAAAATCGTTCAGAATATTAAAAAAAAAATTAGGCATACCATAAACCAATTAAAGTAACCATCTGGAAAGAGCGATAATGCTTTTGTTTCCAGTAAAGAATCAAAAATTGAAAACCTAATAGAGCACCTAGGAGAATTAGAGCCATTGTTCCATGCTGAGAATCACCAACATATGGGTCATTAATTCCTGTGTTTGGATCCAGTACTGATTCATTATTGTGATTACTAAAATGAATTAACAAGTTTATTGCTTGTGGCAATTACGATCAAATGTAAACTGAAGATGTGTTACAACTCAAACCTTTCATTTAGAGCAGAATTATTTGTTATTTGAGCTGTAGTAGTCAGAATCTCGTCAATTTCCGACATCTTAGTGCTAGATCGCTATATGTTTTTGTTTATACAAGCAATTTCTTAAAAGCTTTATTCGAAAAAAAAAGGAATGTTTTTTTTGTATTTTAAATATATTCATCCGGTTTATTATTGTGTACACTCGTTAGA